TCCAGTTTTTACGTGATTCCGCATCTGTTTTTGTTTTTTTTAACAACAAACGTTACTGAACAAAATCAGGTCTCAAGGCGATCCAATCATCATTCTCTTTGTGGACCGGTCAATCAAAGGCGTCTGGTGCCGCGCGTGGTCCCTGGTGGATACAAGCCAGTGCCATCAAAACAACGCTCTGTAGCTACCTGCCTCCTGTATATGGTAAGACTTTGTTCGTATCTCGCTATATTTTTTTGTGTGGATAATTTGTTGTGTGCACTTTTAATTAATAATGATTTAAGCGAGCAATTGAAAGACAACTTTCCGACATATGTGTCATGCAATTTAATAGTTTTTAAAAAAATATAAACTGTTTTAAGAAAATCCAATAGGAAAAACTGTACAGTCTCTTGTTCTTATTTTATTGTACCAGAGTTATGTCTTGTTTCACAATTTTATATCTTTTCAATGGGAAATGGCGTCGGCTGGCCGTCGAGCGTGAGCTCTTAATGCCATCTCCAACGCACCTCCACACATCCCTGTCGCCGGGTCTCCCTGACGCCGGACAATGCACCGGTAAACCAGGGACTTTCCCAAGCCTGGACCGCCCCCACCCGCAACCGCTCGATCGGATTTGCGTTTGGAAGCTTTCCCCGCCCGGGGACGGTCGGTAAACCAAAAATGTGGCGTGTAAAGCGTTCGCAGCCGACTCTCCTTGGGAGTCGGGATGGTAAATTTACATGCTATTATCTTCCTCCACCTATCCAGGGGAAGCGTCGGATGCCCTGTAAGTGGATTTCCACGACTCAACCAATTTGCGAATTATCAGGACCGAATCATCGACCAGAGGTTTCCACCTTAACTTCTAGCCTCATATACATTAACGGCGACTTGTAATCATGACCCCTGCCCTTTCGCTGCCTTTACTTTCAACTTTGAAACGTCACAGTTGGCAGACTTGTAGGTGCTGATTTTATTTCCTGCAAGTACCATGCATGTCCCTTGTCTGCCCACGCAGGACACGCATTGGTGGTTCTGTTCCCCAGGTAAACGCCGAGAGGGTCTGGTGGTCTGCGCATCCTAATCGGAAAGCCACCAAAGACTTGTCGACAGGATCTCCGGGGAGTGTTTCAACAAATAATGTATCGTATGTGATTGTGCCATATAATATATATTCCTAGTTTCAACAAATACATTATATTTATGTGATTGAGCAGGTATATGTCTTGTATCAAAAATTGAATTATCCTTATATGATAGTGCAAGATATGTGTCTTGTTTCAACAAATTGTAGAAAAAGTAAGAAACAAAATACAAATGTAAAAGCCATTTATGTATTGGTGAATATGCTGCAAAGTTCACCCCTTTTGAAATTTGTTGTGTAATTATGATGAGCCATTAAAAGATTTTAATATTAAATCAGAAAGAGATTAATTGGTGACGTTCTCCAAGTGAGACGACGGTTGGTGCCGTTTCTTTGTATAGTGGTTCTATTGGTGCACTGTGTCGTAAGGGGTTGCTCGGTGCTTTTGTCTTGGTAAGGGGTAGATTGGTGATATTTTCATAGTGGGTGCATTGGCGCTGTATTCATAGTGGGTCGATGGGCTCTGTTGTCATAGTGGGTCGATTGACTCTGTTGACATAGTGGGTCGATTGGCTCTGTTGTCATAGTGAGTCGATTGGCTCTGTTGTCATAGTGGGTAAATTGGCTCTTTTGTCATATTGGGTCGATTGGCGCTCTTATCATCGATAGGTCATGTTGCCTCAGGATGACGATTGGAGCTACTGTCATAAAGGTACACGTTCTATTTACCTCTACAGGTTGTAACCAGGAAGTTACCCTCGATTCTTCTAAGAAGTCAGTCACCATCACCACGCCAGGCTTCCCGGTCAGAGAGCCCAACAGAAGGTGTTTCTATTCGTTCAAGGTCAGCAACCCGTTTGGTTTACTTTCATTGGTGGGTGGGTCAGTCTTGACCACAAACTCTGAAAAGCGTGGGTTGGTCCATCTTGACCACAACCAATGAAATGCGTGGGTGGGTCAGTCTTGACAACAACCCATGAAAAGCGTGGGTGGGTCCATCGTGACCACACACTATGAAAAGCGTGTGTGAGTCCGTCTTGACCACAACCAATGAAATGCGTGGGTGGGTCAGTCTTGACAACAAACTCTGAAAGCGTGGGTTGGTCCATCTTGACCACAACCAATGAAATGCGTGGGTGGGTCAGTCTTGACAACAAACTCTGAAAAGCGTGGGTTGGTCCATCTTGACCACAACCAATGAAATGCGTGTGTGAGTCCGTCTTGACCACAACCAATGAAATGCGTGGTTGGGGCTGTTGTGACAACAACCTATGAAAAGCGTAGGTGGGTCTGTCTTGTTATAAACCTGTTCAAGGTATACACTTTTAAAAAATCAACTGGCAGGTTTTTTGTCAGATTTTCTGAAAGATTTTGTGAGCAGAGAACGTGGGACAGACCATGTAACATATCATGTGACAGACCGTGTAACATATCATGTGACAGACCGTGTAACATATCATGTGACAGACTGTGTAACATATGATGTGACAGACTGTGTAACATATCATGTGACAGACCGTGTAACATATCATGCGACAGACCGTGTAACATATCATGTGACAGACTGTGTAACATATCATGTGACAGACTGTGTAACATATCATGTGACAGACTGTGTAACATATCATGTGACAGACTGTGTAACATATCATGTGACAGACTGTGTAACATATCATGTGACAGACCATGTAATATATCATGTGACAGACTGTGTAACATATCATGTGACAGACTGTGTAACATATCATGTGACAGACCGTGTAACATATCATGTGACAGACCGTGTAACATATCATGCGACAGACCGTGTAACATATCATGTGACAGACTGTGTAACATATCATGTGACAGACCGTGTAACATATCATGTGACAGACCTTGTAACATATCATGTGACAGACCGTGTACCATATCATGTGACAGACGGTCTAACATTCTTGGGATTGCATGCAACCTCGGCCCCGGTACCTGACAATGAGTTGCGGGGTGCACTATGTATTTGTACGCGTGTCAAGCTTTTTTCTCTATTGTAACTTTGGTTTCTCAGTGTAAAAGATGAGGTCGAAGTTTAGCAAAGAAATTTGACAAAGCCTTTGTTAAAAAAAAAAAAACATGTTTTTTTTTTTGTTTTTTTTTGCGAAGGCAGTGTTTTCGAACGTAGGGCATGATTATGTACCCCTAGTAAACTGGACATTTGAAGATTATGGGTGAAAATTTAGATTTTAAGATGATAATTGAATTTTATCTGTTAATTTCTTTCATTTATTTATTTATTTCGGGGGGGGGGGGCAAAGGGAGGAGGTGGGCAACATTTAAAAGGCTGTTTCTTTTTTTGGTGTGTGGTTATTTATTGTAACAAACTATATATTTTATTTTCGAAAAAAATTGGGTCTTGAGGTCAAAGTTAAAATTCATTCATTTTTCAGGGCAGCGTGGAGACCTATCAAAGATTACTAAGTAGATCTTTGCCGTTAAAATTGGTGTGTCTTTCGTAAATATATATATATATCCTACTATTAAAATCTAATGCAAAATCGGCTTATGTCTTAAACCGATCCAGTACTGGTCAAATAGGATAAAATATACAAATTCCAAATACTCTCATGTAGCTCTGTTTTCATTACCAACGGAAAGAGAGCATTTTGAGTCTTCGTAAACATTTCACGATTGAATGTATTCATCAAATTCACACCAAGTTTTCTAGGCAATAATTTCTTCTTTTATTTTAAATTGGTTGAATAATTATCTATAAATGTGTTCCACATATTATTAAATAACATTGTCATTGTGTTCTTTTTAATGAGTAAAAACCACATCTTTCTACCAACCAGGTCCCGCCAAAAGCCAAGGTGAGAATCACATTTAATGTTGTCGACCTGAGCACTGTATGGGACGACACTCTGTTGTACAAGAGATTCCACCAGTGGCAAAGTCCAAAGAAGTAAGTAGCATGTGGGCATGTGGATAAAAGAAGAAAAAAAAACAAATTTATATATATATAATTATATATATATATATTTTTTTTTTTTTTTTTTTTTTTTTTTTTTGGGATGCCGTTGTAGGCGCTAAACGTATACCCACCTAATATATTGATTCACAACTCACGGTACTTAGCTTTTAGAGTTTAACTAGAACTTTTGTTTCGGGTTGGGGGGTGGGGGTTGGGAGGTTTGCAAAGTGTTTAAAAATATTGCCTAATATATGAAGGGCTGCGTTTAAGCCGTGGGTAGGGAAACACAGGATGAGATATGTTAAATTTTGAAACAAAAAAGACAGGGCTATAAAATAATTGTTTCAGCTAGACGCCTTCTTTGAGCAAACAAAACGAGAAACTACGAGAAATTAAGAATTTTTAAAGACCACCGGAATTTCATTCATCTAAAGCCCAAGCGTGCGTTCTACCAAAGAGATCACCGGTTTTAAAATTATTAAAGTATCGTTAATGTGACATTCTAGAATTCTCAAAATTTCAAGGAGTGAAAATAATAAAATTGAGTTTAGAAATTAAAGAAAATTGAGAAATACTATTGATAGATTATTTGATTGATTTCATATGATTGAAATTGTTATATATGGACAAGGTATATGGAGGCTTGACCATAAAATATGAACGTTTCCGCTAAGAGCCTTCCTCAGCTGTCAGGTTTTTTATTATCCTTATGGTGATTTTGTGCCAAAATACTAAAACGGGGAATAAACTCTCTATTTTATGTGTGGTTCAGTATGACAATATATTGTCCCATGAATTGTCCTGTTTTATCATCCTGCCCACTTTTCAATCTCAATTAACGTGTCTTATCTCAAAATCTTGATTGTGTTAATTCCATCAGGTTCTGTCTACTTCATACATTTTAATTATTCGTCTTTTTAATACGGAAAATTATAGTTTTGTTACCGTTTTTCAGACATAACAAAGTGCTGTGATCAACTTTTTTTCAAAACATTTCACAGGCTAGATTCCAGCAACTACCCCTATCAAATTATCAGCGATTATGAATACATGTCACTGGAGTACTGGTCTGGTCCTGATGTGACTACCAAGAAGGGAGTCCAGTTTACTGCTGACGTCATCCTGCGTAAGCCTCTGTGTTTGGTTTCGGCATCCATTTATCTTTGAATTTCAAGTCCAACTTTAAGTCTCCGAATGTTGATTATTCGAATGAATCCGAACTGCAACTATATATATATATGATCATTTTTTTGTACAACTTATCGAAGGCAAATATTTATAAAATGGATCGGAGGCGTACAACCAGATGGAAACCAAAAACTGCCGCAACCTCTCAATCCATTTCAAATAGAGATATGGACTGTCCCTTCGCTGTCTGATGACCTCATTACTTAATTTCTCTCCAAATTTTCTGGTATTGCACAATTGCCAAGAAAATAAATGGTATTTTCTTCTTCATAAACGCAATTTAGCTGAAGATTTCTGCTACGACGCATCCCAGGACGGGGCCGACTACTGGGGTCAGGCGGCCATCACTGAGACTAACGAGCCGTGCCTCAATTGGGCTGACACCGTGGAGTGCGCCGACTTCCCGGGGTGAGTAGTAGATATATCAGTTTGTACATGTTGTAGGTAGCAGATGTTGTAGGTAGCAGAAGCTCTACTTGAATTGAAAGGTATGTATATATATATATATATATATATATATATATATATATATATATATATATATATATATATATATATATAAAAATATATATATATAATTTATATATATATATTGATATATATATATATATATATATATATATATATATATATATATATATATATATATATATATATATATATATGTAACAATAGACATTTATAATTTGTATGTACATATTGAAATCTAGTTATAAATGACTATTTAATCCCCTATGACCCTCCTTACAGAAAAAAAATAATAAAAGATTGTGGCGTGGGAGCGTGGTGACTTTTAAAGGCATCATTTTTAACATTCTTGAATAGACGTATACCCTATTCTTATAGTTCGTTTTTTAAAAAATCAAATAGACTTCAAGTGGAATCTAAAACATGGTATGTATTTTAAAAAAAATTGACCTACGTTAAAATTCCATGAATTCTCCATCGTCACAGCAATGACGTGTTCCTCTTTGAGTCAGTCAACCAGTGCAGGAACCCACTAGGTAGACAAGCTCAGCCGTGGTGCTACACCTACAAGAACGGGACCAGCTGCACCAAGAAACACTGCGATGCCTGCAATTGGTGTAAGGTTTCCTAGATTTATTACGTAGACATACATAACGTAGAACAGAACTTTTAAGGGTTCGATACGAAGTTCAAATTATCACCGGCATTGAGAGATCCGAAGCTTCGGGAGAAGAAGAAGAAAGAAAGAATTATAAAAGTAAGTTTTTACAATGACATCACCACGTCAATCTTTACTACCCTGGCCTTTTCAACTACGCTTTGAGCCACCACTAAAGATGATGCTCGTCATTGTGCCGCCCCTCATTATTCCGTCCCTAATTATTCCGCCAATGTGTGCGTCAATGTCATGCCGCCTACGGGACTCCATCTCCGGGTTTGATATCAGAGTTGGCCTTATCTTAGATGAGTTGCCACTCAAAGTTAACGCCTCCAATCCAGCCGGGATCCTGGTGACGTCTTCTCTTGTCCAGGATTTTTTTCTTGGGAATGAATCAGTTTAGACAGCTCAGCCAGCCAGCACACACGCTACACATCTGTCATGTTCCTTATATGGTGTGAACAGTGGAGCAAAAATACCACAAATCAAACATAAGCTGTATATGGTGTGTCCATTGGAACAAAACTTCCCAAAACAAACATAAGCTATATATGGTGTGTCAGGTGGCACAAAACTTCCCAAATACAAAATATGATATATATATATATATATATATATATATATATATATATATATATATATATATATATATATATATACTGACA